ATTTGTATTTCCGGTTCCAGAGCCTGTGCCACCAACTGTTCTCCTAAAGCAGGGTGACTCCTTCTGCTCAAAAAAACACTTCTCAAACCTGGCTGACACAGTTATTCTGGTCTGAGCGTGGGAGAGCAGCCTACGTCTCAGATCTGTCTGCCAAATGGAAGTCTCTAAGGACAGAGGGTCACTATCTCCACCTCATGCCCATCACTTATAACCAGCTGATTTCATCAACACAAGAAATAAGAGGCCAAAGGGAAAGATGAAACTTTTTAAGCATGAAGGTGATATATTTTTTACGACCAGTGCTATCTGTCATAAAGAAATAAATCTGGGCTTTGAGCTGTGTTTTCACTCGTTAATCTAAAGGATCCTCCTGCCTGGAGTATTTTAATACTGTTTAGTGGAGTTTACAGCAGGAATTCAGCTGCACAAAACACCATCTGAGAAGACTTTCTATTAGCAGCCACACAACCTTTAAAGCCTGATTCCCTGTGGAAACATTTTAATGCCACTTAAAGCTCCTCTACACCAGACTCTCAGCAGAGCATAAGCTCCAGAACTTTTATAAAGAAGAAAGCATGAAAGCAAAAACATCCAATCAGATTCTTACCCAAAATGGTGACTGCTAAAATATTCAGTTAGCAATTTTAGCAAAACTAAAAAACGACGAGACAAATGACCTACATAGAACAAAACAAGTGTCACGAGTGCGTCTTGTTTTGGCTTAATGGCCCTAAAAAAGATGCCCTAAATAAGTCACTGTAATTTAGGTGGAGGAGATGAACAGGAGAAATTGATAAAACAACAGGGAATTGGACACATGGTAAAAGTTAGGGTTATATTTCTGATAAAAGAGAGAAATAAGCTTTTTTTGTGTGAAAAAGTGTATTTTCCTTGAGCTGTGGGCTGGGAATAGAGGTCATACAAGGTCACACATGAGTGTGTGTGATTGACAGAACAATGATGTGTGTACATGTCTAGAATCTCCAGATAGGATGTAGAACACATGATGGAGTTTTAAGAAATAAAACAGTTTTCAGGAAAATAGTGAAAGGTGATCTGATGTCCAAATAATTTAGGATTGAAAACAAAATAGGTCAAAGGTTTTTTTTTACCCATCTGGATGAAGACCCATAAAACTATGGTAGTTTATTATTGTTCTGTTTTCCTAACCAATGCTTCTGCTGGCTTTCATATCACAACATCTTATTGAAATCTCCCTTTTTACAGCAGCTCATATATCAGCAAGACACTAAATGTTGTCATGAATAAAATCCCCTACAGTTTATTGCTAACTCTCTTTGTCTTAATCCACCTGTTATTTGTTTCCTGTTTTGTTATTAATCATGTAGTTGTGGTATGTTGCCCCTCTAAACTACTTGGCAGTGACTTCCTCTGCTGACAATTAGCTTTGAATGTCCACAGCCCCTCTTAGGAACCTGCTTTCACACACACACAGTCTCACACAATGGCTGGTTTGAACAGTTTGTGCACAAAGAGACTGTGGCGTGTGAGTGTCATTCTGAAATAATAGGATTAATTTTCCTTTCATTAGACAAGTGTAGGCATCCAACCCAGCTTCCAAAACTCAGGGAATAAGTGAGACTGACAGAGGGTGAGTTAAAAGGAGAAAGGGGGCAGCTTGGGTAAATTGCAGAGCAAAGAAAGTGGAAAAAGGGAGAAAAGAGACAGAAAGAAGAGGAAGTGTGAAAGACTTACTGGTGGAAAAAGAAATGCCCTCTTCAAATTAAATGATCGGTGATTGCCAAGGACTCAAGTGGTGTTTATTACATGGCATTTCAGAGGTTCTTCCCAATCTTTTCTGAGTCTGAGGAGACCAAAGCCTCATTACTTCCTCAATCTCTCAAATCTCTCTCTGCCTAACACATTTATTTCTCTGCAAGCTTCAAAACTGACTTCAAGTCAGAATGCTCTGCGGGCTATGGAGGCTTAGGTCCACTTCACTGCCTCTGTTATTTTTCAAATTACGTTGACATTATGCTTTTTCTCTCTCCGTGCGAAGTCATAGTTAAAAATTGTTCTTTAGGCTTGACATGCTCCAACAGTTTAATTTCCTTTCCTCTGGAGGCTATCTAACATTCTTATGTCCGGCAACTTAACTTAATTTAAAGCACTGCTTTAAATTCTACCAACTTCAAACAAAAAAATGATGAAGGCACATTTATGAGATGAGAGTATAAAAATGTACCATATGTAAAGAGGACCTTTAAGAAATTTGATTTATAAATTGAAATACTTTTAACATCTTATTTTATTCCTGGTTCTGGAAAAAATACACTTTGAACCTTACTATTGAGATTGTCTATATCAAATAAATATTTTTCTTAGATTTTGATAGGCTTCAACGCAAAAACTGCAGATAGCTCAAGACTTTCACACATAAAAGCTCTGCTTTTGTAATGGAAGCCCTAATTATCTTTCTGTCTGACACCTGGGAAAAGAGCCAACAAAAGGGAATTTCAACAATATAATGATAAGACTACCTAAATAATGCAACGTTGCAGTCAAACAGTTTGATGATCATTAACTGAACTGACTATGAATTTAATTTCCAGCACTGCTTTGTGTCTGAAAAAGGTCTAAGTCCGAATTGCCAACAATACATGTACTGGCATGACAGAAGTACAGTCACAGGGGGTGTAGCATGCTGAAGACATGCAAAAGCTCGGTGGGGAGGATGGAGTGGTACTGAAAAGCAATGATAATGGTGCATTAATGCTTGACTGACAGAGTGTATCACAGAAATAGATGCACAGTTTCTACTTGCTTTAAAGAGTAAAGCTTTAAAGAGTAAAACTTTAAAGGCATAAATAATATGAGTACAATAAGAATTTCTTTTTCATTTAAGTAAATCCACTTTTTTTTTTTTTACAGATGTAAGAATTAAAAAATAAATGAGAGCAGCTCCAGATCCAAAAAACACACAGTGGGACATAACTGCATTCATCACTGCCCCTCTCTGATCTGGCCATTGTACATTTGAATGATGATTCCTTCATTTCCTGATGTCCACATGAAGCTGGCATTTTGGCAAAATCTTCTTTATATACCAAAACCAGTCCATGGTCAATTATGACAGCACTGAGAGAAGTTTAATAGAAACTCGAAAAGCGGTCTTTAATACGATACCTGCTGCTGGCCCTGGGTCTTCAGGAAGTCCTCCCTTTTTCCACTTTTAGTCTTGTCTGTGCTGTTCTGCTGTAGGTGCTTCAGCTTGGAGGTAGCTGAAGAGTGGACAACCTTACCAACGCTGGGATTATTTCCTCCCTGACAGGAAAATGGGAAAGAAGAGAAAAGAGGAGACTAAATATGCCGTACGTGGCTGTACTTCCCAGTTCCCCTTTCCAGTCTCCAGTTTCAGCATGAGAATCATATCAACTCAGTTCGGTCTTTGATTTCATCAAGCGAGTCTTTCTCCTGAGACCAATGGAATTTTAAAGATCTGCGCTTGTACTGAGCACAAAGCTAAACTATGCACTTCACAGACTTTCACCATCTATCAACAGAAAATGACAAAGAACAGAATACAGAAAGGCAGGATCAGAAGTGACGTTGCGTAGCCTACCCTCACAGCTGGATCCATGAAGCATTTTGACTAATGATTTTTCTCACTGAGCTTCTCTACCGACTCTTTCTCATGCGCCCCAAAAAACAAATACACATTCAACCAAATTTCCACCCAGCTGTGAGTCTTCTACACAAAGAGACAACGGTTCAAAGAAAAACTGGGAAAAATAAATGATAGCCGTGTCAAATATCTGTTCCATGCTACAATGAGCCATAACTGAAAAAATATCAATATTCTTAATGTATAGCAAGATTTTGAACGTCATGATGCATTCAATGTGCAGTTTGTAGGGTAAATCTTTACTTCTACTTTTGTGCAATCAGCTGCAATCAAAAAACTGAACAGTAATTGAATTTGAAATTTGGTGAGCAGCTATCATTAGGCACGAGGGGTCATGCTGAAATGATCAACTTGACTGAAGTTGGAGTGATGAAATAATGTGTGAAGACTCTGTAATCCTCAGCCGTGCCCACGGGACTGCTCCCTGGCTCCACATCAGAGGGCTGAAACTCACCCTGACAGTGACTGTCACGTTTTGCGGCCGGCCTTGAGTGGGAGGATACATTCAGAGCAAGAGGGAATACTATGCAAGCTGTCAAGGCTCTGTATCGACCAGGCAGCTGACACATGAATGCTGCAAGCCTTTTGGTAATAACTATTAATGCCGTTTCGCAATCGGCTGGGGAGAACTCTAAGACGACCACTTGCAATATCTGGAGATAGAGGCTCAACACGTGGTCATTGTGTAGCACTAATGAGTCTGTTTAAAGTGAACTGAGTTTCACGATAAGAGGAAGATTTATGTCTTTGTACAGGCTCTAATAGTCACTTATTTTATTCTTAATTTGGTTTCTCTTTAAAGAAAAAAAAATCTATTTTCAAACCATGTATTTCTATCAAAATCAGATAACCTAAATGTACTTGCCCCTAAAAATATGTATATCAAATAAGAATAATTAACTGTAAATGTTATCATCTTTTATACTGAATATGTCATAACATAACAAGAAAAGACAGCTGAGTTTCAAGAGACAGCAAAGATATACCATAGACAGAACATGAGATGGCAAAACTAACTTTCCAGAAGAGGACAAGGTGAGAAAGGGAAAATGTAGCTGTTTGCCGCTATCTGTGCATTTGTTTAACATCCAGTGAAATGAGCTAAATTCACAAACAGAGAGCAGATGTCAGCGCAGATCGATAAGGAAACAATTAACAGCTCTGAGCTCAGCAGGACAGCACCTCCAGCACAAAGCACAGAGCAGACGAGTCCACAGGAAGTCTGTTGTCTGTCCACTCAACATATTTTGGATTTCAAATGCGATTATGTGCTGATTCAATCAGGGAGCAGACATCAGAGGCTTGAAAGTAAAGTCCCCGACAGTCGTGAAGGAGGAAAAGAGAGCATGCTGCTTCACGGCAGTAATCTACACAGCGCGAGTAAGCAATGAACCTGGAATGATGCGGGCCTGAAAGATGGTGGTTTAGGTGGCACTGGTGGCTTCCTGGTCTCTGAAGACAGACTCCCAGTCCTCTGTACAGAAGCACTCCTGGTGGCTGTTTCTGCGTAAAGATGCTCTGATGTAGGATGGCCACCGATCTCTATCAAGGTGTTCTCCAGCTCACGGATAGTCTCTTCCAAGCTGTCCAGCCTCTTGTAGGTGCTGATCCGGACGTCGTCTTTCGTTCTTGTTTGAGGAGGGAGACTGCTGTTGCTCCGTTCTACCTTCATCTCAGCTGTGGGCTTAAACGTCAACCTGCTCTCACCGGTCACCATCCCTCTCCTCAGAGCGTCCACGAGAGAGCTCAGCTCGCCCGTTTGGTGACAGGATTTTATTCTAGGTTTGCGATCTGACGGACACACCTCCAGTAGGGAATGCAGCTGCTCATAGGCCTCTGTGACAGTTCCCCGCCCCCTGACGAGCACAAGGACGGGTCGTTTGTTGATTCGGGATTCGGGGATTTCTTCGGTCTGTGGTGAGATGGGTAGGGTTTGCAAAACTTTGTCCATAATCATGAGCTCCTGGGCCTCACTGGGAGACACAACCCTCATCTCCAGCTCTGTCAAAAGCAGGGCCACTTGTTTGAAGTCTTTATCCATAAACCACCGATGCTGCGCACTGGCAGATGCCCTCCCTTCAGAATGTCCCTCCGCTGCATTGGTGGTGTTGTCAACCACGTGGTGGCCTCTCCGATCTTTTGTCGGAGTCTCATTTATCGGGTAATTTGCTAAATCTCTAACAGGATCCTCTGAGAAAGCGGGTGAAGCTGGCAAACATTCTGTCAGTACGATGTGAGGGACGGTAGACAAATGCCTTCCCTATGAGTGAAAACACACTAAGTTGGTCACGAGTGCAGCGCAGTTTTAGCATACATTTTGCAAAATTGAAATTGCTATTCATCCAATAACAAATGTTCAAGTACAGCTGAGGAAAAGAAGAAAAACAATGTTATCAGCAAATGTATAAGACATGTATAGATGATGCTGTCTGCTGCCAGAACACAGAAACTAAGACATTAGCTCCAGAATAACAACACAAACGCGTACTTCAAGTCGGAATAAAAACTAATTGCGGTCAGTCAATTTTTTTTTAAGACAGCATGCATGCACAAAAAAATTGACCGAAAACAGTATCTGTTGATGTAAGAGTGCAAACAAGATGTGGGGAAGAGCAGAGCAGCAGTGGGTGGTTTCTGTAAGAGGGAGCGGGGTTAGAGAGAACACACAGAGACTGAGCAAGGCGCCACTCCACATTGCTCAGGGTCAGCCAGAGTGTTACCTCAGAAATGCCTGAGGCCTGAGGAGGCCACAGGTCCAGTGTGGAGAGGGGTTCACTTTTCCTCCTGCATGGACTAACAGGCAGGGAAAAGGAAGGGAGCTGAGTGTACCTGAGAGGGACTCTCTCAAACAGCTGGGGAGGGAAGAGGCAGGTTTGAAACAGTTATAAACAAACAACCAGGGACTTCTCAAAACCAGTTACTTTTGCCTCTCCGACAGATTTCAGGCAGGTCGCCTCAAACAGAGCACAAGCAGCAATAAGGGTCCATCTGCCTGGCTGTGATCGGTGGGCCCTGTGTGATGATGTGTGCCACTGAGCAATATGTGATCTTTGGGCTTTTCCAGTGCCAGAGGCAGGAGAACATATGGCTCCTGCTGCTCGAACATGTGGTAATGGTGATGAGCATGTCTGCACACACCCTACATGTGAGGGCTCTAGGAATCCAGGGGCAGATTGTAGACGTAACAAGTGGAGAAAAAAAATCTAATTAAATCATAATGATGCAGAATCTTTGTTTTACCTCCAGTTCGGCAGCGATTCTCTCTTCTTCTAATTCCTCTTTTTCTCCAGAGGCCAGTGTCGGGGGTGTGGATGCAGGGCGAGGGTTTTCAGACACAGTCCTCCTCAGTTTTGTGTGAGGCTTTTGGGTCTCAGCTTCTTCAGTTTCAGATTTCTATAAACACAAAAGTCGCATTCAGAGGCTTTCAGGAAGAACACTAAATTAACCTCTTCACAATGCGCAGATCCAGCTGGAATATTCAGTTCAAATATTGACCGTCTGTGAGGAGTACTAGTTTGAAAATGTTGCGTGTCTGTGAATTTTTACTGAGCTACCTTTATGCTTTTTCCAGGAATTAGCGTTTCTCCACTCCGAGTGGTCAGCCCTGGGGAGGAGGGGAAACTGCGTCTAGGTGGTGGGGGCGGAGGAGATTTGGAGGGTTTCTCTGTGCGATATCGTGGTACTGTCAGTTCATCTGGAAAATACAGTAACATCTTTCAGAGACAAAACCATCCATCCAAAACCAATACATCATCCAAATCAGAGTGTTGACCGGTGCCGACCCCTGCACCCAAATGGGTGAGAAGCAGGGTGCGCCACACAATTTTGCAAGCCTAATTTAGAATCTCCCATTAAGCTAGCAAACAAGGAGAGAAGCAGAAAGGGGGTCTGGCACCTGAGCCGCGCCGGGAGCCTCCGTCCTTAGCAGAAAGCTTGTGCTGGGGCTTGTGGCTACGGTGCTCTGATGCTGCCGCCCCAGTCTGGGGGGTCTGAGAGGAAGGTGTAGTGGAGGAAGGCTTGATCTGCTTGGCAGCAAAGTCCAGGTCTGGAATAGCCTTCATTAGCTCAGCCTGGGTCTCCTCCAGCAGTCGGTTGATGTCCTGGGCGCTGTACTGGGTGAGATTGGCTCGCTTCTCCTCCCAGTCACGCTCAGCTGCCTGCAAAGTAAAGAGACAACCACAGAACCAGTGTTAAACTGGTGCTATCTGTCTTCAGTTACTTCGTAAATGATGTGGAAAATGTCAGATAGATGGAATTTAAGTAGAAATTAGTTCTACCAATCGGACTTCCACTGACAAAGCTTTGTCAGCGGCAGCGCGGCGCTCGAGCTCCTCCAGGGCTTTGCCTTTGTGGGGAACGGGAGGATGATTGTCCTTATGAGAGCCAGACAGATTCCCAAGACCACGGCTGAGGCTGGAGTGGGGGTTCCAGTTTGAGAGGCTGTTACTTCCCCCAATGTCATTGATGGTTAAAGGTTGGTTCGTGGAGATGTCAAAGTCTGAAAACTTTCGCAAGTCGTCATTGTGCTTTGATGAAGGACTTGAGAAGTCATCTTGCTTCTTCCAGACTCCTTCATTTGCTTGTCTATGAATATAGAGAAATAGATTAATTAACTTTTTCCTATATTGCTGAACGCCCAAAACTTTGCATATGAGAGACCACACATTTGTGCTTCAAAACAGTTATTCACAGATGAGAAAAGTTTAATCATTTTTAACATCAGGATTAATTAAATCCAAGTGCTTGTTTGAGGAAATTAATGTAGATAAAGCTGATTCTGAATACTTAAAGACAAATTCTAGTCCAAACCAACCTCTCTTTATAAAGTCAAAAGACTTTTATTCATATGACTAAAAAGGGCGTCACAGTTACTACCAGTTTGAATAAATGCTTAAAAATAGCGTTGTCCTACTCACACTGCCTACACCTCAATAAAGAGATAATAAAATTCCTCTCGTCAGCAGAATCTCACATGGATTACACTGATCTTTTTTATGTCAGCTCATGCTGGACATATTTCAAGGTTACTGTCAAAAGTGAAAGAATTCAGTGAGCAAATATGAGTAAAGACAGCTTATCAGAATTCACAGCAGAATTCAACACAGTAGCTCTTTTGGGTCAGTAAAGCAGCCTCAGATGCCCTGATGCTCTCCATCTGAGCAGGTTCATACTTGCGCATCGTTGCAAGGGTGTCAGTTATAGTCTTGCAGCGTTTTAACAGGGCATCAAGTCTGTGTGGCTCCTCTTTAAGGAATTTGACAGCTTCCACTTCCACCCGCAGAACCACCCGCATCTTACTCTGTAGACCTGGGAATTGATCTGCAGGAGAAGGTATAGGAGAAATGCACACACATACTGAAAGAAAAATACTACTCTTCAATTCGACAATTTTTTTTAACAACTAGCAATGACACTTATGAATCCCTGCAGACAGGTTGAGCGAGAAAAAGTGACCAAAAGATAAAAGATAATCAGGGCCTTGGTGAGTAATTAGTGAATAATAAACTGTCTGCCAGACTAAATGACTGTTTTCTGTTTGCTATCGTGCACAGAATGAGAGGATGTGCCAGCATGACTCACTTTTCAGCTCTGTAAGTGTTTCTCCCAGCTTTCTCAGAACGCTCGCCTTCTCCTCCAGCTCTTGCACAGTCACCAGCTTGTGGTTGACAGACGACTCCTTCTGGAGTTCCTCCACGGACTTCTCCAGGTCACTGAGAGATGGAAGAGACAGAAGGATGGGCACCAGGGATTCCTCTGCCACACACACCGTTTCCCGGACAATCGTGGTTTTTAAGTTTCAGTAATTCCTCGGCCAATAAACTGTCACTCTCGGTCAACTGGCAAGTTCTGGACAGCTGAATTGGAGGAGTATTGAGTGGTATTTAAAAAACTTTTTTTTCCCCCCAGAGACGGAGGAAGGACATTTGTTTGCATCTAATAAATGAGCCTCAAATAGCACTTTCATGAGCAGGTCTACACAAAGATGAATTTGGAAAGCTCTGATGTAGAGACTATAGCTAATTTAGTCCTAATGTCATATAACCTACCTTGAGTTACACGCTGAAAAAAAAGTTGAGCACGCAATGAAAACAAACGAGAGGCAAAGAGACAAACGAACACAGCAAAGACCATCAAAGTGTTCAACCAATTATTCTGTAAACCCAATACTGATCAGAGTGTGACTCACGACCTTTGATGGCCCAAACAGAAACTTCCAGGAATCATTACCACGCTGAACGCCTTCGCAAATGAGGCTGAGGCAAGTTATCTGATTATTAAATCTCAAGGTGGCTCTCTGATCTCATTTTTGAAGTCATTTTAATCGTCTACTGGAGAGCCACATATATCAGATCTCAGTAAGCCTTGCTCGGTGCCAGGCTTAATTACTGTTATAATTTCTTCCTATCACTACCTCATCCTTTGAGTCATCTACATGTGAAAGAAAAAAATAATTGTCTGTATGTCTGCTCTAACAAAATTATGTCATCCAGAATACACCCCCCTCCTCCTTATATATATAGTTCCAAAAAATTGCTCAGCAGATAGTTTGCAGATTTCCGTTGCATATTATTAGCACTGAAGTGTGACTTCTACGATTACTGACTGGAGCTGCTGGATGATGAGCTCCTCCTCATTGAGGTATTTGAGTCTTTCTTCCTCCACGAGAAGACGCTGCCTCTGCAGAGGATCCTCCTGCTTCCTCAGGGCGTCTGCCACGCGCACGTGCAGCTCCGCCTCGGTGCGCTTCAGCAGACTTCGCACCGAGTCCTGGTTCTCTAACTGAACACAGAAAAAGCATATAACCGCAGCATTACCGGGACGCATGCAGTGTACACAGCTCTCATGGAGAAAGCTTTTCTACTAATAAACCACATCGGTGCAGACCAGTATGGTTTGCAGAAATAACAGCCTCTGTTTGGCCCTTTTTGGCCCTAAGGCAGGTTATAGGGTTATTTTTTATTGTTGTTTGATGTAAATAGAATACTTTGACAAATTCCTTTTTGTAACATTGCATCATTACTTGAAAGCATCGCTGAACACAACCCCAAATGCACTCTGTAGGACCTTAGGAAAGACTTTTTTGTGAACATGATAATACACAAACAAGAAGATGAGATGCTATAAGGAAAATTAGGTTGTCCCCAACAGCAGTTCTTGATTGTAAGCTAAGCTCTGTGTCACCGTTATGAATGGAGTATTCAACAGGCGTGCTGCATGTAATGCAACTCCACATAGACAAATCACCTGATAACCAAGGAAAGTAAATATTTAACCAGCCTTATGTTCAGGCAACAATAAACAATATGTCTGATCTCCGTGGTTAGACTGAATTCCCTGTTTCATAATAGCTGCAAGCTGCAGTGATGTTGATACAGGAGTGTGGCAATAACTACATTAAGACTATCAAATGTCCTAAAATGCGTTTTATGTTTCATACTGCAGTACTTCTTACTCAGCTGACTGTCCTTTCTTAACCTTTCCTCCATGTAAAATTCATGAGTCCCATGTAAAATTCAAACAGAGGGCCATTGCTATGGGCAACAGTAGTGGCCCGGGAGCAGAGGTCACAGAAACATGTAAAAAGCAAACTGTTTTCTCTAGCCACAGCACAGCTACGACACCTCGCCTCTCCATCTCACCGCTTACCCTGCTCTAGAAACCCTTGTGAGAGTTGTTGTGGAACAAATGACAGCGCTGCAAGCTCATCATCTCCATCTCTCATTACTCTTCATTTCCTCTGCAAAGAACTCCACTCCTCGGCTACAGAAAGCATTTATCTCATCATGTCCGCTTGTTTCTTCCTACAGTAACTATAGCACAGCTTGGATCAGAGAGAGAGATTAAATACACGAAAACCGAGTGTATGGCTTCATTAACTCTTCACACAATTTCTATCCTTGTGGAATAGCACAAGGTGTGATCTTAGCTTTTACCGCTGTGTTTCATTGTCTGTCTTCAAAAGGTACAAGGCCCTCTATGGGTCATGCAGCACGTCTCTCGCTATACTATAGGTGCAGTATTGAAGTAAACATCAAAGCCTCTGCTTCTGCGTGCTCCATAATTGTGAAATACAGCACAGTGTTTGATTACTTCATGTTGAAAACAGATATTTAGTTCCAAACAACTTCATGTCAGCTTGTTGGCCTTTGCATAAGCCAGTCACATGTAGGACAGTGTGAATATTTGCTGTAACTGCACAAAAAAGTCTATATTTTCTGGTGTGTTAACAAGGATGAGAATCACTCTGATATCTTCACTCAGAGTCATTAAGGTGGTGTCACTTCAGAGTAGATGCTTGAGTGCATCTCAACCCAGAAACAGTGTCCCGGTTTCTCCGCATGATCCACTAAACACACCGTCAATGCGCTTTAAGGACTGCAAAGTTGTGACAAAGAGCTGGTCCAAAGACCATGAATTATGCAGTCAGAGCACTGGCTTAGGAAAGAGGTGTTACTTTTTTATTTATTTATGTTTTACAATCCTTTGAGCTCTGCAAAATAAAACAAATACCTTTAGTGTATAGCGTATAAAACCTTTACATAGGTACAGTCATTTCCAACAGCCACATACAAACAGTTTTGAATATCTGTTTGGGGCCTGTGCAAATATATCCAAGTTTTGACTCTATGAATAAGTGTGGTAAGTTAGCAAGAGATAAAAGATTTGTTTAACTCTGTCACAAAAGACGCCAGGATGTGTAAAGGTTAGAGGTTTCTATGTCAGTTTGGAATATGTTTGCATAGAAAAAGATAACAGAGAAACTGGTAGTAATAAGAGAATCCATACAGTGTCAGGAGCTTTTATGACCAAATCCACCGCCAAGGGAAATGGTCAGTAAGAGTCTGTCATTTTATAATAAGATGGAATAGACATTTTAAGAAACATATGAATGCCTTTTCACTGTGGATACCTGTGTCTTGCGTAGTTGAGATAGCTGCTTCCGCAGGTCGGTGGCATTTTGTTGCAGGCCGTGTAGGTGGAGCTTCATCTGCAAGCGGCCGATGCTGTTGGTGGGTGGTGGTGGCATCAGAGCCAGAGGTGCTGACGGAGTATTAGCTGCCAGTCACAGAGCAGGGAATTGTAGGTCATTGGAAAACAAATGTGTTAGTCTGATTGACTGCTCTCCAATGGGTTCTGACACAATATAAATATTAATGCTCACATATTCAGCATAAACGCAGAAAGAAACATACATATATAAAGGATTTGGGCACACGTGCACACACACACTGTGTCCAAAGTGGGAATGCAAATCAAAAAGCTCCATATTCACAAAACTCTAGTTACCTGCTGGGAGAAATGTCAGCTCATGCTATTAGTAACCCATAGAGAAGTTTAATCGCTCTATTCAGTGGTGACACATGGGTATGACAAAGGTTCTAAACTGAACACAGGGCTTTGTGAGTATGGCCATTGACCTGGCATTTATTTGATCACACAAAGGAGAATCCAGTGTGTGGCAAAACAAACTTCTGGAACCCCCAAAGGAATGACCAAGCAGGAGGAAGTAGAGACAGAAACAATAGGCGAGGAGTCCGCCGTCTGGGAAACCGGCCAGAAAGAAAACATGAGAACAGACACTGCCAGCTACCCAGGAGCACCACACACCCAAACAGGGGCCGGAGAACCATGGGAAATGTTTGACAGGAGAAATAAAAAGGATGATCAAGTAGGAGATGACAACTACCTTTCTGCTTCGACCGTCCAGCTGGAATATAGAAAGAGTGAACCAGATACAAAGAAATTAATGAGAGTGGTAGAGAGACAAAGAGAGGAATGTCTCTCCTGATTTCACATAAAAGAGGGATGATCTTGGAAAGCATTTCTATGAGACAGTGACTGTGGTGATGGCTTAGTCTTTTGGCAAAGTTGTGAGGGACCTCCTAAAGCACCTGGTTTTGTTCTAACCATGTGAAAGTTTGGCTCTAGAAAAGGTTTGCCTCGTGGTTCATATGTGGCCATTATGGAATTTTTTAAAAGACAGGAATAAGCCCAATCCACCTGATAAATGTTGGAAGATTCAGTTCAGTAATACAAAAAGTATTTGTTGAAAAAGTTGAATAACTAAGCAAAAAGAAAAAAAATTGAAAAAAAGAGAAAGTAAGAAAGAAATAAGCTGTCAGGTTTTGTTCTCCATGTTTCCTTGGGTATTTAACAACATTCAACAGTTGCAAAGATATAAGGATATATATTTAATAATAAACCTAAGATTAATTTATATTGTTGAAACATTACACTAGTTTACAAGCATTTGTCTGTATTTGCCCTAGATTTAATTGACTTTCATCAAACAGAAGTTATGATAGCGATAAATAATAGACAGACAGAGAGACAAAATGGTCAAGGGGGTAAAAATCTGATTTCTGCAAAGCTTTGGGTGGTTGGTCAGACGTACTTTCTACATGCATGGGTGTTTGGGGATGATTTAACACCTAATATTTTGGGTTCAATTAAACCAAACTGGAGCATTTAATGTTTGGTAAGGTCCATTTGGAAGAGGAAACATGATTTCAAACATGAACAAATGTTAATTATGGAGGTAATTATGAGCTGTTCAGCGAGCTTTAAAGTGTTCAGCCAGCAGTTTTTAACTATGTTTAAACTGGCTCATTAAAAGGGGGGCACTATTTGAATTCCACTGCATCTTAAATAATTCAGTTGATCTGATCACAAAAAGCGATTTGTAATTCATCTGATTAAAGTATATGTCTTTATAACTTCTTATAAAAAAATTAGCTGGTTTTTACCAAAATGTAAGTGTATGACCTTTTTCTTCCCCCTCCATTGATGGAGCAAACCAAACTGTAAATACCAATAATCAGCTCAACAACAGAGAAACAATGCTGACTCAACAATATAATGAGAGACGGCAGCGTCCTGGACTCATGTGTCGTTAAATATGAGTACAATTTACCAGAAGATCACTGTCACTGCTCGGCTGGTTATAATCTGAAGGAAAGTTAGTAGGGAATATAAAACAGTTGAAGTGTTTCTAAACAGCACAGGGATCAGACCCGGGATGGCAGTGTTAGTCACAGTTCAGCACGCGGGTCTCAATTACTCTGCTGTACTCACTTCCAGTGGCAGAGCCGTCACTGTTGGTTTCTGTCTTCTCGCTGGAAGAAAAAGGTAATGGCCGTGAAAACTCCGTCCCTTGGTCTGGAGGGCAGCCCGCCATCATGCAGAGACGCAGCAGGCCACATCTGAGGATCAAGCGGCCACAGGGCAAGGCAATTACAGTGCTAACGCTAACAGCACCACTGCCGGACTCTATACGAGCGATCACGCGACCGAGTTATCTTCTAGTACATGAACCCCTCCTATGGTCAGGGACTATGGGATGGGGCTGGGCATAATGGCTGTAAGGACCTCAGGCTCTGCTGAAAAGCTGTCTTACAAATCACTGTCAGTGGATCGATACTACAGTGGCCTGCAACTTATGCTTACTGCTCTCTCCTTGTGCGGCGCTCGCACAAGGTGCCGTCGCACTTCAGCACAATGGAGCCGATAATGGCGGCGATAATGGCCTGCTGCCGCGCCTGTCAATAACGCGGCCATGGGTCGAAGCCGGAGCTCTGCTCGTGACTTTCGGAAGGTTAGTAGTGTATAATGGAGGGTCTTACGTGCTGTCACTGTCCGGCGCTCTGGTCAGCACGCTCTGGACAAGACCGGTCAAGCTGGCTATCTGTTTCTCCATCGCTTCCATCCGCTCCAGACGGTGGTCCCTAGAAAAGGAGGTTACTCCATGACTATGTGAGAAGACATTCAATTATAAGCAAATAGATACAGGAAACGAGTCAAATCAAGAAGATTTAGCTGTGTGTGTTCTGGTAAAGCATTTATTATAAACACATATGAAAAGCTGCTTTAGAAAATATTGTAGCTTCAAGGAGACTCGTTGAGCCCTACAAAATAAAGTCTTGACAAAAACAGCAATATTGACCTGCTCGTGTCCCCGTCCTGTCCAGACAGTGAGCCGAAGCCAGACGAGGCTCTGTTGGCCTCCCCAGGTCCCGCTGTGAGACACAGAGGATCTGAGCCGGAGCTCGGCCTCGACTTTGGGCTCTCCACAAACACAGAGGAGGAGGCAGAATCCTTACGGAAAGTCTGCCTCACCGGCGAGGCTCTGGGCGAGCTGGAATACGAGTCCCTGTCCCTCAGCTGCATGTCGGGGATCTTCTGAGGCGATGAGGGCGGCATGCGAAAACCCATGCCCAGGGTGGCGGAGGAGTACGTGTCAGAGTACAGCGGGCCTCCCGGTTTGTAGAAGGAGTCTTCCAGGTCTCCCTGAAGAGCGGCAGCTGAGTAGGTGCTGAGGGAGCGTACTGAGCCACGGCGGTAAAGGCCTGTGGTGACGGGGAAGCTGAAAGGGTCTCCGATGGCCGCTAACGACTGGGTGGAGGCAATGCTGAGGCGGCCCTCGTGCATCAGGCTGTAGGGGTCTGCATAAAGTCCTTCGCTCTTCATCAGGGCCTTGTTTTTGCCAGAAACCTCTTCGTCGGGTTTGACGTCGCGGCGCTCCAGGATGGCGCTGGGTGAGGGAGACAGGCCCACGTTGGCGACGTGGCCGGCGTTGGGATGATGCGAATGCCGGGGCTGCTCGTGTTGGGGATGGGACCCTGCAAAGGACGGAGGGCGGCCCCCGCTGTAGGAGAGGCGCGAGCGGGACGGAGAGCCGGAGGAGGCCGAGCCCGAGGAGGAAGGAAGAGTGTTGATGCGGCGCGTAGGGGAGGACTCACGAGAAGAATACACCATTTCCCTCTGAAATGAGAAGCAGAGAGGACTGTTACCATGGAGACGTGGGGTTGAGCGTGCCGCATTTCCTGTGTGTGAGTGGCACATGATCTTACAGACACTGAGCAGGTGGTTCCAGCTTGCTAGTGTCAGCAAAATCTGATGTATTTCTTACGGGAGAGATTATCATCTAATCTGATAGCAAAATCTTGCCAAAAAGAAAAGGTTATAAGGTCAGTAACAGAAAGAGGAAATGGAGAAATCGTGAGGTAACGTAGTGTATAAAGAATATTCATCTGTAACATTTATCAGTAGTACCGTAAAATTCGTCAAAGGGAACTAGTACAAAACATCAGTCATTACTAAATGTTTTTTGCTTTCCTTCATAGATAATCATCATTAATCCTACACGAGTGCTTTTTTTCCTCTCCATTTTTTCTCTGCTTTCTGCTGTGGACTGACTCCAGTTGTAACAAGCTGCTTTTGTCTGACCGTTGCTAATCGTTTCTTTCTTTTCCTGAATACAATAGCTTACAATAGAAAATAAAGAACAATGATTAAAAACAAAACAAAAATGGACTCAATTAAAACAGACAAAGACTAAAGCTAAAGCTGATAGCTTTAGATTCTGAGGAAACTAACATGGGATTGACAAAAGCAAATGCATGGTTTGATGCTTGTCAGTGTTCCCGCTGTGTTTGGTCACTGGCAGATATTCTTGTCTATATTTTTTGGTATAAAATGGAACTGGTATAAAATAAATCACTGAAATGTAAATGTGGCTGTCAGGGGACCTGGCTCTTTCTTTATTCCTTGCTGTGTTTCTTCTTTTTGCACTCAGGAACAAACATGAATTTAGTCAGGCACAAACACAAAACAGCACAACAAAGTGCATGCACATTGTGTTTACAACCTGCCTTGCATGGCTAATAGCAACCGAATTCACAGTGTTTGAGTGAATGACAACAATGTAGGCAGGGTTTTGTATCAGATCATTAAAAAAAAAACCTCCCTCAGGCTTTCTGGATTTTACTGAAGCAGAAATAGCTGTTGAAATATGTTCATTTTATGGAGAAACATTGTTCTCTGGTGTCGGTGCAGCAACAGATGGCCCCCTTGAAGATAAAAAATACATTTCCAGATGGAATACCTGTTCAATTACTAACCCCCCTAACACTGTAATAGCCTGTCAAAGTAACTATTACAATTGTCAAACATGAGATTGGATACGAGCGACCCAGTTTGCCCCCTGCTCACCCTCAGGTCTCCGTTAGCCAGGTGTGCGGCAGCAGGGTACGAAGCATAAATGGGCTCTTTTCGGTAAATCTTGATTATGCTGCGGTCCTGAATGTCCCGGACGTCCTCCAGTTCGTAGAACACGTTGCGGGCCTCGTCCTTGATCAGGATGGCCGTGTTGGGTGACTTCAGCATCCCTGCCGTCAACTTCTGGGGGAACATGTGCACGATGAGGGCGTGCAGCGTGTCGAGGCTGCTCAGCTCGTGGGTGATGTGCACCCGACGCGTCTCATCTCCGTATTGCAGGAACAGCACACCTAAAAGAGAGGAACGAGGGAGAGGGAGGTAAGTCAGAAGTTTTGGGGATTTAAGTTGATGGAAATGTATCTTGAAATGCAAGTCTGTCACCCAGGGGCACATTTTGCCAGCTAAGGTATCAGCTGTGATTCTAACAGTCTGTCAGTTCTTATAAGATCTAAACCTTTTTTTTATTTTTATTGGCAGTTGTTTACATGAAGAAACAATAAATCCTTGTTTTATTTATTTGTAACTTAAAATGAGAACAACGTTTTGGAGGCCAGCTATCAATCTAAGTCAAAGTATGCATGCACAGGTTGAATTTTTACCACAACAATTCAAATAAAACTCTTTCTCATCAATAATAAATTGACTATGACTCAGAAACCTGAAGAAAGTTCTGCTTCATAGAGAACTGGGTTCACAATTGAATTAATAGGGTGTGTCTGAAGCCTGACTAACCTGCAAATTCATCTTCATACACCAGGGGACAAACAAAAAAGAACAAACAAGGCAAACATAGACCAAGAATTAAAAGTTGGGAAAAGTATGTAAGGTACTGCAGACATGTTGGGGAGAGAAGAAAAAAGACAGTGATTAGTTTGGGAACAGGGGAGACAGGCAGGTATGCTCTTTCACTTCTGCTGAAACATCTGATTCTGTATGCCCACGCCTTGGTCTTTATGAGCCTGCACCTTTTCTTTAAACAGAGGCCTTTTTTGGTCATCAACTTATTTACTTTTGTTCTTGCATGCACTAACATCCCCAGTCCTGTACTGACTCTTACAAAGAGAGTGATCCTCACCCGACTGACTCTTTGTGATCAAATATTTCTGTATACACAAAAACTTTAGGGCTCTTAAGTTGTCTGATCTAATTAGACCACGGTAGCATCCTTCACAGTAAACGCTGAGGTCATCATCACCAGATGCATGCAGCAGAGGGATGCTGCAAGTAAGTCGTGAGTCCGGTCGGCATGTTGCGACAGAGCCTGCCGGAGGCATCTCGAGTCTTTACCTGGAGATCGTAGCTTATTCTGACTGGCCGAGCGGGACAGCGGGAGGCTCTGGCGGAATCGGTTCATCCGATTGAACCCAACGGGGATATCTGCTTCCGACATGGTCTCCAAGGATTCAGCGGAGGCAAAGGAGAGCTTCGCAGCCTGGTCGGCAAGGCCAGACTGGGTAGACTGGGAATGTCGTGGACTGCGGCTCTGCTGGGACAGAACACACAGAGACGTACTAGAATTTATTAAGAGTTCGAACGCGAGGCAGAAAAAATGGATTCTACAAGGCTCGAGAACACCAACTGGAAGACACAGCGAACACACAATAAGACGCCACACAATGAGCCACCTAACAGGATTATCCAGACCTTGACAGTGGTTTTGGCCACCAGCCATTCACAAAGAATTGTTACCATCACAGCGTGTAACAGCGGTTGAATGACCCCACAAAACAATGTGTCATCACACGACGGGCATCTACGTCCACGAATCCCCTAATCTGGGGCAGGAGGAGTATCGAGATGAAAGCTTTGACATCTTAACAAATCTATGTTCCGTTTGCACATCTATGGACATCTTTGAACACCACCCACGCAATTTTCATCCAAACTCTTATCCCAACTTTTAAATGAGTGCATCTGGGATGGAAGAGGAAGCTCATGCAAATCCCAGCCTGTCATTTTGGGTTTTTTCCTGCTGGCCTGTGCCCGGGCACGGCTCGCTGTTAGTGGAGCTGGGGCTGAGCCCACTGAACTGAATTCCCTAATTCCCAACCGCTGTAGCGTTTCCTCCAGCTCAGAGGCTGCTGTAATGAGCTCCCAGAATGCCGTCTGCTGATTGTTTGAATGGAAGAAGCATCTACATCCTTAGCTTTGGTATAGTGTGCCTGTCTCCTTCTCTGTGAAGCATGAATACAACAGTTGTCACCTCCTACCCTCTCGGCTTGAGTCGTACTGCAGCACGGATCGACTGTGGCTTCCGTTAATGTGATACTTAACTAATGAGAGGACGGCTGAGGGAGCACAGAGGGCCATCTTCATGCTTGTTGACTCCCAGCTGGGGACTTTGAAATTCATTCATAAACAAACAACATTTCGCAGAACAGGGGATACGCCAATGCACGACTTTTTGAGACTTTGGATTCAAAACGTTTTTTTTTTTTAAATTGTCTCAAGTTTGCCAACAGTCAAAAGATGCTATTTCATTCAGAAGATTCCATGATTTGCTTCAAGAAGACCCATGACTTGCTTTGCTCAACTAATGGGTCTAGGTGAGAAATCCCTCTCCTTGGTTCTGAAGTTGCTTCGTGTCAGTTTTTATCTTAAATCCCTTATTTTCAAAGAAGTGTCCCTTTTCAGCTTTTGATTACAACAAAACAAAAAAAACGTACAAGCACTTAAAGATTTACAAGGATTCAAACCTCTTCAATTCTGTAACATAAGCTCTGCTGCTCAGTAAAACCATCCACTGGGAAAAACGATGAGCAGAAGGAGCAAATCAAATTTGATTAGGCTGCAGAAAAAGACCTTTTGTTCCAGGTTTTTAAGCACCTCTTTATAATTCTGAGTCAGTTCTGTGCATTCTTGAAAGCTGATGTAATAATCTGATTATTAACAGTAGAAGTGTCAAAATACAGACGCTCTGTAGCTGGAAGAAATACTGGAAGTGTAGCATTGTACTTTGGTAATTCACACATTTAACTGCGTTTATCATTTCTAAACTGGTACATTAGATCTCTACAATGTTTTTTGTTCCAGCAAACACTGAATGGTTGGCTCAATCCTTGCACATGTCAGAGAAGAATTGGTCATAGATTTCAAGAGTGTAAATCAAACAGTACAAAAACGTCTTCACACGTACAACGTGTTACTTTTTACGTTGTGAAACTAAGTATGTCCTCATTATAACTGCAAAAAGTACTTTACTGTGCTTAGTGAGAGCTCTGCTGAAAACAATCGCATTGTTCATGATCCATTAAATTCATATCAAGATGTCATGTTAAATAATTAGGACATTATCTCAGATTACCTTGAAATTACACAAACTGAGGAAATCACATCACATTTATAACATTTAAATGATTAGAACTGATTCAAGGACAATCAGCAAAGCTGCGCCTTTTTATATGTGGTGAAATTTTGGATTATCCATTGCAAAAATAATGAAGAACATTTTATTTTAGACAGATGTATAAACTCAGCATTTAAGCCTCACTTTCATTCAACATTAATCTCACAAAGCACGATATCATAATACAAACGGTTTCAACATTTTATGTCTCAAACCTTTTGATTGAAAATACTACTGACTGGAGTACTACTGACTACTGACTGGAGCACTTAGATACATTTGCAGAGTGAAAGTGAGGTGAAAGTGATTTAAACTATAGTACAGTTTTCGATAGCTTTGGGAAAAAAGAATAACTTTTGCTTCCCCTGGGCTCCATAAGGGCTCCAGTGCAGTTTGCAAAACTTATCTCTGTGGGTGTGTGTGACCTGGTCTGAAGTACACTGACCTTCATTATGCTCATTCCTGGGGCTAAAAACTATCCTGGAGGTTGAGGTACCACATTTGAGAACTTTGACTTGCTGTGCAGCACTGCTTTGCTTTTCAGTTGCTTTCTGTTTGCTTTTGGTTAATGAGGAGGTCTGTGTGGCCTCTCCAATATGATTCATGTATGTGGCTGTACTTGTTCAGGGCTTAAATCAAGATTGAGGTTAATAATAAATGTGTTACATCCCACAACTGCAGGGGAAGTCAAAGAGCAAAAAAAAAAAAAAAGTCAAGCTCCCTAACGATACTTTGTCAAACCACAGACCCATTGCTGACAACTGTCCATACCGTTGCTGTCCTGATAAAGACCAAATTGGATCAGGTCCTTTGCCCAGCTTTCGACCTGGTTTTGTCTCAATAGTTCTTGGATAATCCCATAAACAAGCTGGCAGACATAAGGAAACAATCAAATTTGTCTCCATTTTAGGGATAAACTGCTGAAGCAGCACAAAAAACAGGAACTAAACTGCAGAAAATGGGACTCAGCAACATTTAATCACCACAAACACAAAAAAAATGCTTTTTGAGTTCACTAATACAGTATGTTTTACAACTGTGGTTTTACAACTACAGAAGCTTTACAGTCACAAACTCCCTGCAGGTTTTCACAACATCACGGTCCCCGTGACACCATCATACATAATTCAGCCCAGCACACACGCACACACACACACACGCAGAGTCCTGAGATAGTGGTGGCAGACATTGTCTGAGTGCAAAGAGAAACTGTGATGCTGACAGATATCTCCCACCATGTTTTCTGATAGGGTCATTTATCTAAACAGTGACCACACCGAGTAACGGCGCAGCCAGCAGCATCGCAGGAGCAGCACATACTGCCGTGTTCCACACCGCCAGGCAGTGAGACATTAGGGGGAAAATTCAATATGAACACTTTTACCCAGTAGGGGCAGGCTGATAGCTTCTTTTTTTTTTTAAATCTGACTCCAGTGATTTTTTTTAAATCCCTTATTTCCTTTTTCTTTTTTCTGTTGCCCCCCAGAGTTTTAGTTTGTAAAATGTAGCACGTGAAAAAAGGACTTATACTTTTATGAATATGTTTTTTTTACTCATTTCTCTCTTCTTGGCAGTAGTTACACAGAAGGATCAATGTCAATAAAAACCTTTTTAGAATTTAAGCCACACCACTGCTATACAAAACTAATCAAGTTAAGGTTTTATTTATTATCTCACTTGAAGATACGACATCATTGGTTGTTCGGAACCTTAGAATAAACTCAACTCTTGCAGAAATGCACTGTTCCATCAATATTATTTAGACTGTGTCGTACTTGTGGCAGTATTTTAGCCACGCTCTGGCAAAGTTTATGGTGAGAAATGAAAGAAAATAACTGGACACAGGCAAGAGTTTAGTTGTTTTTTTTACCTCAAAATCCTATTGGATGCAGTTAATAAATTGGTTTTGCATTACAGGCTTGAGCAGCAGTAATTTTGTCTGTGCTCCTTCAGCCACTTTGCAGTCTTGTTGTCTGAATATAGATTTCACGCTGGGATACCTTCCCACTTCGTTATTACTGATATGTTGTTGTATTGGTTGTATTTACTACAGTCTGATTCAGCTTCATGGTTTGCTGCCTTGGTTATTACCTAGCTTATTGGTTTGGTTACAGGTAGCTAAATGTGTTCTCTGTGTACACTTAAATAAAACTTTTACTTTTTTCTATTGCATTGATGTTCAATCATTTGGCAGAACTGTTAGATCAATTAGAACATTTAATGGGCCTTTTACAATCAAGCCACTAATTCTATGACATGGTGGCTCTGTCGCATTCAATTAACCACAAGTTTGGCATTTTGAAAAACAAATGTGCTCCTATAAACCTCTTAAAATTACATATATTATAAAACTGATACCAGGCAGTTGGCTTTTGATGGTGGATATAATCGTTTGGTCTGAATTTACCATTAATGCAGTTAAAAGCCATAAACTCTTTCATGAAGTATCGACACTCTTTAAAGGATTCTGTAAAACACCCTCAAAGTGAATCCCTCAGCTAAGGAAAGATTAGTCTGAAGAGTCACACTTAAGGAAAAAAGGAAAAAGAAGAAAAACCCAGCCCCAGGTTTACCGCTGTAAAGCAATGCCCTCCACTCTGTAAAAGTAATGGAAGGAACGGGAACTGGAACTGATTTGGCATAGACACGATAACTCTAAATAATGCTAAAAATGATCAGTTTCAGCCCGATGTTGATGTATAAAAAGGAAAAGGTTTAACCATATTTTAGAAAGGGATGTGTTGCTGAGCAATACAATCCAAATGTAAAAACATATAATAACATAATTAAAGATGTTAACAACACAATCAACATTGACTTTTCATAGTTGTGATAAATTATCTGGGAAAACTGACAATACGTGTGAATACACATCTGGTCAGAGACACATCAGTGATACACAAGATCATGTCTAAACTCTCCGTGAAAAGCTGGTTTTGAGCTTCTCCTCCTCTTTATGAACATTTTATAGCTCCAGACTTTTCCAACAGCTGTCAGTGGCTGCTGAGACCACTACACTCCTATCAAAGCATAGCCGAGGAGATGAATGGGAAAGGAACAGGATGATCTTACAGTAACCGAGGCAAATAGTGTAGAAAGTGGGGCAAGGTGGTCTGACAAAAGACCTCAGGCAACAAACTGCATTAAACCAACACAGCCTCCTGCCATGTTTTCTCTTGTTTTGTGTGCTTGTAGAAACTAGTGCACTTACTCTCACAGAAACACACAAACATCCACGCAGGCCCGTATTAAGGTCAGATACTTTCAGTCCACGCATTATTCACTCTGCAAACTGGTCAGCCTCGATCAGCAAGGACCAGAATTATTGCGATTTCAATGAAATTTCAACTCATAAATGTATTTTCCATTTAATCACTGAGTGTTTTGATAAAAGATGCACCCAGAATCTTATGAAAGACTTCAACGGTTCCAGAGCCAATTAAATATTAGTTTGTCTGTCTCATGCTCTCTGGGAAGATTAGGCTAATTTTTTACCAGAATTAGTTTTCAAAAACGTAATTTTCTGTCAGATCAGATGTCGCCTGACTCTGGGTTTGACGAGGCTCAATTAATTGCCTGAAGGATCAACGATCCTGCTGTAATAAACTTTAATGAGGACGTTTTAATAATTCAAGAGAACAATTTGACATACTGTAGCTAAAACTGGTGTCTTGTCAGTTTTAAAAAGTGAGAAATGTTGCCTGCCTATAGCAGACTTCAGTAGTATTTTAGAACTTTGTTTTTAATCATAGCATCAGAATTTGAACGTGTACTTTCTGTGTATCTTTTTGTCAACCTAGCTTAAGAGTTGGCTATGAGTTTAGACCACAGAGCACACATTGTCTGCCTGGCCTAATTAAAGGCAGATTTAAGGTTGACATGAATATGAGGCTTATTTTTATATTCTACAATCTGGTGAGCAAAACTGGCTGAACTCCCGTGCTGTAAAATTAAACCAAGCCTTGGTCCA